TACATTTGTATTTTTTATATTTTGTACTTTGCGTTAGATACTTAGTTTATATTATTCAATATATTTTACAATAATAAACAATCAGCCAAGCAATAAGACGAACACTGCACCAATATTACAATAATATTAATCCTGAACTCCTCTAATTTTCGGTGCAGGCGACAACTGAGACGCAAATAGCGCCAATTTATTTTGTTTGAAACAACAGACATGTCTCAAATATTATACAATATTTTTAATCACCCTCAGAAGGAGCCCCTTAAGTGACATTTGCAGAAAATATTTAGTGTGCATGCATGAGAAACATTTCCTCAAGGTTATGCTGAAGTTGCAGATTCCAAGATGCTGTTGCAAATATAATTTTAGGGGCTTTTGTTTAAGAATTTTGCACTTTGATATTCATATTTCAATTTATTCTTGCCTTAGTTTTTTTAAAAGTACAAATGTTTTACAGTTTCTCAATTAATATGATGTGGGGGGAAACAGCATGTGTAATAATTAAACAAGTATTACAAAAACAAATAGTTTAAAAAAGTTTTAAATGAAATACGGCATGTCATGCAGCAGGATATAAAATTACACAATTATTAGATGAGAACTGAAAGAGAAACACTCTGAAATGTCTTTTTAGTTGAGGTGATGCATAAAAACAAAGTGACACATGTGGTCACAAATATCGACTTACCATCACTTACGTTCCAGTTCTTTTCTTATTTGGTTAATTCATAAATCCAGTAGAGTATATAAGGTATGAATAACTGTGACAGAACCACAGTCAGAGTCCAACAAGACTTTCCTTTTGTTGTACAATAATGAAGAAAACTACAGGTACGGGGTCTTACATCTGGCTGAATAGGGGGAAAAATTATGTAGTTCACAGTAATTTGTTCAAAAGACTAATTTATTGATGGCTAACTGAACCATATCTTGCTAAGAGAATGAAAAGCTTATATATATATTCATGTGCGTTCAACTCATAAATACGATCTATCCGACATGACTTGAACGCACCATTACACATTCTTTAAATCACAGACAATCCAAACTTCCCCACAGAAAAAGGGGGAAAACGTTTTAGTTGCCGTTTCGTTGACAGACCATATGGGGGCGCAAGAGATTTGGAGTGTTGCTGCAATTCTGAGGCTTGCTGGTTGAATAGCAGTTAGCCACTGCTATTGAGAGTATTTTATCAATTGTAGCGCAAAAAAAAAAAGGTAATACTACTAGGCAGATGGTGTTCTGAAAACTGATCTAACTCAGATGTGTTAACCACACAACATGCGCATGACTGGAAAAATCTAGGTTGAGGTTTATACATTTACATTTAGTCATTTAGCGGACGCTTTTATCCAAAGCGACTTACAAATGAGGACAACAGAAGCAGTCAAAACTAACAAAAGAGCAACGATATTATGTGTATACGCCACAACAATTGGAGGACAACTTTAGTTTTAGTTCATGCTGAAAATATGATTTAAAACAATCTTTTATGTGATCATAAACAGCTAAAAATACCACACGTTTGCAACCCTGCACAATCACGTCATTTTAGGGTTTAGGTTAACATGTCAAGTCTGACAAAAGGGCTTTTCACATTTGAAATAGTTAACCATGGGTCATTCTATCCTGGGTTATCTTGCTTCACGTTTGACGCTGCTCATAATTCACCCGGGGTTAACAATTAGCCTAACCTTGGATATTTAAATGCTGACGTTTCACACTGTGCATTCCTAAACCCCAGGTTAAAGTTCTTATTTGCATATTGGCGGTGTCACTGTGATTGGTAGGATGAACAGCGCCTGCAACCTGTTTACATAATGGCACTAGCATTGTGTTTTTCCTGAATGGACTTGTTGGTGGACTATAAAGGAAAGAATGGTTCCAAAGAATGGAAAGGTCCTCTTGTTCACCCCAGTTCACACGATTTCCATCACCATTAGCTTAAACAGAAATTACACTTACAGATGACAGCCTATGATCACAGCCTGAAGGACAATATCACATCCTCCATCATACAGGATTTACACCACATGATTGCAACAATGCTTTTCTGGACCAGTAGCAACAATATCAAGACATTTCCCTGCATAGTGCAACTCACTGACATACGCAAGCACATACTGCCTCACCTCTACCAATCCAGTTCTACGAATCAGATTCTTCCATAATTCATACACAAACACACACTTGCTAATCATGGCCGTAAGCAGGGTTTGAAAATTAGTGAGGTCTGGGGTGGGGTTAAGAATTGTGCTATAATAACCCCTACATATATATATACACTAAACACTTTAAAAGAGACAGACATGTAGATGTTTGTGAAAGATGTTTTCTCCGTTTTGGAGGGATGAACATTGTTAAATGATACCATATTTATTGCATCACAATTTGTCAATACTTTACTAGGTTAGGGGTGGGTAATTTTATCAGTTGTTTATTATTCATGCAACAATACAGTACATATTACTGTTATAGTTTTCAATAATAATCATTGCTATATTTATGATAACTTTGTAGTGCTCTTATGAATGTTTTTAGCATGACTTTGTGAAAATTGAACTACAATAGGCTACTGAATGAACTAGCATAGAATTCTTCATGGCTAGTGTTTGCATATTTCATTTCATTCTGTAACCTATACTTGTTCTACAGATCTCTGCACTAGTCCGCAAGAGCTGGATTTCATAACCCCAGGTAAAAGACGGTGCTGACTCTGCTTCTAAATGACAAGTGTGAAATGTTTCTCTACCTGGGATTAAAAGCAGGCTTTAGAACGACAATAACCCAGGCTTAAGCGCAGTGTGAAAAGTCATTGTTCTACCCATTTGGATACAGTTATCCATGTTTTAACACGGCTATTATTATCTGATGGTAGGCCTGCATTATGCTATTTGTTTGCCATGTGCATATTATGTAAAGCATGCGTTTTTTATTAGACATAACTTAAACTACTGCTAGGTTCTCTGGTCAGATTTTCAGAATGCTGCCAGGCAGAAATATCAACCCCCTGAAAGCCCCAATTTCAAAGCAACTGCAAATTCATTGCCATTGCCGGGATAAAAGGCTTCAACATTTAATTAAAGGAAGCTTTACTGTTTATGATGTTGAAATTACTCACCTATTAGTGAATAAAAATGTATGACATTCATGCAGAATCAAACCTTTCCAGACCCTCTAAAATGTTATGACCTTCTAAAAGCCGCTCAGTTCAGAGTGAATGAGTCTTTTATAGGTCAGTCCTTTTTAATCTGCACAGCAAAATGTTTACAAGGCAATTAGAAAAATCTAATAAATTCTCACATCGCATCTACTCTCGAAGTTATGTGAAATTGCTTGTAATGTTTATGACATGAAGGACTCTCTCTGGTCCTGAATTATTTTAATGCTTTAATACATGAATAATATTATATTAATTATTTAGTTACATATGTTGGGGTAGGAGGAACTGGGTTCCACTTACTCCTCTTATGCTTCACCTCAATCTAATTTGGCTTGTGCTCTAATCCTCCGTTGAACACTCAGCAGGCATTTCTTGTCAGTGTCTAGAATCAAAGAGCACTTAAAGACCTTGTTCTAATGGAGTTCCCCAAACTGTTCTCCAGCGATTCTGTTAGAAGTTAGATCTTTATGAAACCGAATGAAAAACGGTAAGATTACACAGATATGCAAATACTAACTCTATTCCAAAGCCTTCTGAGCTGCTCTGATGTCTACAAAGGTAGCATTCTACAGAAATCTCATAAGTGATGATTTGGAAAGCTCTCTGGGGTTTTAAAGAGTTTTACACTGAAGTTATGGGTTAGTATGGAGGATACAAAATATCCCATAGATTGGCTAAAAATATATAATTCAGAAAAAATCTATTTGTGGTTCAGTGCAGTTTAAAAGAAGGGGGGGAATCCAGAACTCATATTTTTGTCCTAGTCTATTGAATAAAATGGTGTTAAAAGAAGATTGTTGTGATTAAAATCAACTATTGACGAGATATAAAAAGCATATGAAATCACACATCTGAAATTGTGCATGTCTACAGCATTCGTCTTCATTTTCCTCCTAGAACCGAATGGGTTACTATGGTAACTGGGGTTTGGTTTCACCCACAGGTGGGTTGAGCCTCTCTGTCAACTTTATAGCCAGCAAGTTTGTGCATCATGCAAATGGTACTCCATAGTTTTCCATCAAGTTAATGATGAATATATACATATTACCAGTCAGTAAGACTTTTTTTTTTTAATAATAATAATATTTTTAAGCAAGAATGCATTAAACTACGGAAGTTCTAAGCGGCCATGCAATATAATTTTTTTTTCTTCTCGTTTTCTCGTTATAACGACTTAATTTTCTCGTGATATCGACATAACGAGTTGTTTTCTCGTTATAACAACTTAATTTTCTCGTTATCTCGACATAACAAAAGTTGTTTTCTCGTTATAATGACTTTAATCATTATGTCGATATCACGAGAAAATTAAGTCGTTATAACGAGAAAACGAGAAGAAAAAAAATTATATTGCATGGCCGCTTAGAACTTCCGTATTAAACTGATCAAAAGTGACAATAAAGACATTTATAACATTGCAAGAGATTTCTATTTGAAATAAATGCTGTTCTTTTGAACTTTCTATTCATCAAAGTATCCTGATAAAATATGTATTACTGTTTGCACAAAAATATTGAACCGCACAACTGTTTTAACATTGATAATAATAAGAATCGTTTCTTGAGCAGTAAATCAGCATACTAGAATGATTTCTGAAGAATCATGTCACACTAAACTGAGGTAATGGCTGCTGAAAATTCAACTTTTCCATCACAGGAATAAAACATTTTTAAACATATTGAAATAGAAACAGTAAATTTAAAATGTAATAATATTTCATAATACATTTTTTTCCTGATTTATTTTTTTTATCAAATAAATACAGCCTTGGTGAGCACAAGAAACTTCTTTCAGAAACATTAGAAATTGTAATAATATATTTAAATCACTAAATTCTCCCACTTCATCCACTATCTTGGATGGATTTTTCCACTGAGAAGGTTGTCTTCTTTTCAATAGATATTACAATTTGATCAAAACAAGGTCAATTGTTTTCACAATTGCTACCTTTTGGAACAGGTTTTGTGTCAGAAGCACATACTTTATGATGCCTTAAGTCTGTCTACACAGGCAGCTCACTAGGTTTTGGAACACAGCCAATGTGTCTGTCAGGGAACATAACTATAGCGAATCCCCTCTTCCCCTCTCCACTTTTATGTGGCTTCTAACTTTCACAGTACAAAATGCCACCACAGTTGCTGCTGCAGCAAACTGTTTAATCACCCTTCTGTTACATCAACAGAGTCTTGGAGGTCAATAACATCAAATCCCAGATTATCAATGCCTTCACGTACATGTTGGTGGAGAATGAACTCCTTGTTATGTTCGTTGTGGAAACAGTAAGCGCAGTGCGGGGTCACCGCAGGCTCCGTTTTGGAAAAGTTGGACAAGTCGACACGGTATTTCCCACCTTTGGTGCGAGAGATGACTGGCAGGAAGCTGTAACCCCACTTGATCTCCCGCGGAAGGTAGGAAGTTCGTACTTGGCAGGACAAGCTGGTGGATTCAGCCGTCCCATCCAGGAAGACCACCAACTCAAAGTCTTGCTGCTGAAGAGTGTCTGCAGCCATTTCAGAAAACGGACTGGATGTGTCGATCACGTGGTACAGGGTAAGTGGACAAACAAAGAACAGGTTGTCCTTCCCAGCATCCACCAAAAAGTCAATATTCACCTGATCCAGTATGATGGTCTCCCCCTCTGGCGTGATGGTGGTCCGGAGAAGCTTTCCATAAATGTGGCTGCCAATAAGAAGAGTTTTTCGTAGGTTGGCCACTCGTATCTGGAGGCACAGATTCCCCTTCCAAAGACAAATGACTGCTGTTTCACTGAAGGTTACAGTCTTTGCTCTTCTCTTCGGGAGAGAGATCTTTGCTAAAATGAGTCCACACATAAAGCAGTTTATGATGGCGCCCATGAGGGACTGGATGATCAACAGGGCGACTGTGCCCGGGCAGTGACCCGTGAGAGCCCGACCGCCATAGCCAATAGTCGTCTGGGTCTCTAAAGAGTACAAGAAGGCGGTCGTGAGACTGTTAATGTTCTCTATACACTTCATCCGCTGGGATTCAGCTGAGTTCTGTAGAACTTCTAAGTCGCCGTTATTTTTTGCAAGAGAATACCAGAGCAAACCAAAAATGAACCAGCTTCCCGTGAAGGCAGCGGCAAATAAAACAATTACAAAACACCAGTGAATCTCAACAAATGTAGTCCAGAAGTCCATAAGGAAAGCAAAATGGTTGTGATATTCAGCAGTCCCAAATTTAATGTTGCAGTGGCCGTCCTTGGTAACAAAACGAGTTCTCCTAATTTTCCGCTCCACAAGGTGATTGTGAATCTGTTTCCGTATGAACTGGAACATCTTTCAGCTAGTAGAAAAACAGAAATACGTCTATCAGTTGCACAACACTATAAATACTTTTAATGAATAATTTAAATTTTTATATATATACAGTATGTCGAGAGAGACTAATTTTATATACACATTTATATATACACAAATACTACACACACGCATACACATATTAAATACACATGTATTTAGAATCTTTATTATCAACTTTAATAATAAACTAAATAATTGTAATAATTTAAACAATTGTTAATAGACAATTAATAATATTATATTAAATTTACATACATATATATTTTTAAATACATATTTAGATACTAATATACAAACTAAATCATTTTTAATAGTTGAAACTATTTATAGGGCCATCTAACTGATATATACAAACATATAAAAGACAATTAAATATTATGATATTTTAAGCTAAAAACACATTTTTAAAAAATGGTCTCCTCTTAATAATTCATAATACAGCAATAATAATTTGATGCCTTACAAATTAGAAGTAAAGCTCAGAAAATTAATTTTTCTTCTTTAAGAAAAGCACATTAAAATTCATAAGTTGCTTACAACCCTAAACCTCTGTAGGCAATAATAGATAAATACTGCATTTACTGCAGCTCATAATCCACTCAAACACAACAAACCACACCAGTAAAGCACTGATTGCTTTCTTTGTCACCCATAAATGTGAAAGTATTTGCCTCATACCTGCAAACTGAAAACGTCCCAGCAAACAAAGTGCTTTTTGAAGTTCAGGCCATGAAGTTCTCTTTCTGAGCATAGAACCATCGGGGTGCTGCTAAAATCCTCAATGAAATGTCCTAATCCCAGGCACATGCCACAGTTTACACACCATAAAGCAAAGACAGCTTATATATTTTAAAAACCACAAAATTAATATAAAAAATTCCAAAAGACACATTTTCACTAATAACTTTAAACTTTCTGACACTGTAAAAGTTAGTTTTAAACTTTTATACACTGTTCAATAGAAAAACAAAAAAAATGGCATGTGAAAACATCTAGCTGCTGAAAACCTGCTAAACAAATTTCACCAGACCGCTGGCTGGTGGCCAGAAAAGTTCCCAACTTGGTAACAGTCAAGTTCCATCACATTTAACTTCAGCATAATGCATAAATATAACATTCGTTCTCATTACATTATGTTCCCATTTAATACACTCCAAAGAGAAAGGAAAACTTAAAATCGCATCATATGACCCCTTTAAAGGGCAAAAGCTGAATAGAGCAATCTTAGCTGCTGTTTGGATGTATGTAATTTGCGATTTTCTACATAACTTTAAGTTACATATCATATATTCATCATATACGTGTGTGTGTAAAAGTTTGGGATCACTAAGTTTTTTTTTTGTTTGTTTGTTTTTTTTTAAAGAAAATGAATACAAAAATTATTTGTATTTTTTGTAAAAAAAAAATGTTTTGTCTTTTTCCACAATATGCATGTGTATTCATATTAACACACATTTAAAGATGTACAGATTTATAAAATTCAGTTCATAAGGTCTGATTTGGGGACAAACTTTTAAAGTTTATGATTATTTTTGGTGTTCATTTCTGAAACAGTATGAAAATGACAATCCAGAAAAATAATTTTAAAAAGTAATAATAAAAATGTATATAGCTGCAAGCAGTGAAGACGGGCCCAAGCCATCAGTGCAACCGCCACCCCGATGGCATCAGGAAAACGGTGCACAGTGGGCGGGCACATGCATTTACAGTAACCCTTTACAGTCTGGATTTAAGGGTTACAGCAATGAAAGGGTTACACGACTATAACATCAAGAGTGTGAAACGCACACACAAAGAGAACAATATATACAACTTTACATTAACTATATTAGTTAACATGAATAATAATTATATAGCATTTATTAATGTTAGTTGATATTAAGTTCAAAACCTACTAATACAATTTAAAGTTGTATCTGTTAACATTAGTTAATGCACTGTGAATTAACATGAACATTTTTATTAACTAACATTAAAAAGATTAATAAATGCTGTAAAAATATATTGTTCATTGTTCATGGAAAGTGTTACCAAAACTTCTTATGATCTATAAAAACAATTTACAATTATTTTAATGGTCTACAAGCATTTGCATGCACTTTTCACAAAACCTTGAATAGTCGACTTACTGTCTGTCAGCACGAAAGTTGTACGGGCTGATGAGATCTAGATGTGAATGAATTTTGGTGATTAGGTCAAACGGTGTGTGCTACAGAGACCCTCGAAAATGGCTTTTTTAAAGTCTGTGCCATGGGCCGCCCTGTGAACCCCCCACCACCCCCATGTGAAACTCTGTCCGGCCCTGACGGCCGCAGATTCCAACATATGTGCAAAGTTTCAAGAGTTTTTGAGCATTTCACTGATTTTATTAATATCATTAAACTGTATTTGCTCTGTTTAATTTTGTGAAACCGTACTAATAACGCCCCTTATCTGTTATGAATTCACTGTAAACAACGGCTTCTTGGGGCTCATTGCTTTATTTTAAAAACAAATTATACTTAATAATAATATATTACATTATATAATAATAAATGCAAGTTATTTTAGAGTATTTGCCACTGCTCATTCATTTAAATTAAAATATTCAATTTCGTATTGAATTCTAATGGTATTTAAATATTATAAAATTATATTTCAATAGCATAAAATGTAATTAATTCTTAAATTAAATTTATAATATTCTTTATTTTACAATATTTGGCACTGTTTATTCATCCAAGTAGGTAAGAAACCATTTAAAATGACAGGATGACCACTGTTTACCACACTGTCACTCACAAGATGTGAACAATCATGAGTCTTGACCTCTTTCTGGACTCCACGGGTAATGGAAAATCAGACACACCAAGACCAGCCCACAGCTGTAGTTTCATTAGTGGCATGTACACATTTTCACTTGTAAATTCAGTGTAATATGTATTTTAATAATAACGCAAGTACGTACGTAAATAAATAAATAGGGGAAATCTCTCTAACATCTAAACTGCTTGTTCGTTGACACTGAGAGGTAAGCACAGAATAAAATTACTTTTTAAAATTTATGTATGGAAAAACATATGTTCTTTTTCAGTTCATTAAAATGGGCAGCTTGATTTTTGGACTAACATGTCGAGGTCTCTTGAGGATCTAGATCAGGGGTGGCAAACGTCGGTCCTGGAGAGCCGCAGCCCTGCAGAGTTTTGCTTCAGCCCTAATCAAACACACCCGAACAAGCTAATCAAGGTCTGAACGGTTATTAGGGAGCTACAGTTTACAATTGTTTTTATTTTATTTTATGTAAAGCACTTTGAATTACCATTGTGTATGAAGTGTGCTATACAAATAAACTTGCCTTGCCTTGCCTTACAGGCAGGTGAGTTTTAATTAGGGTTGGAGCTGAACTCTGCAGGGCTGCGGCTCTCCAGGACCGGAGTTCGCCACCCCTGATCTAGATCTTAGTGGGCCTGGTTTTGAATCCAACTTCGGCATGCATGTGATTTTAATGATTAAAAATAAAGACAGTGATCAATTGAATCCCAGTCACTCCTTTATTCACCCACTAAAGACAAATCAAACAGTTATCTGGCCAGCTGATTGCAGAAATGACTTATGAACATTATTCTCACCTTTTCAGGTGATAATTTGACACCTTCTGGCCCCAGTAAACATCACATTTTACAATCAAATTTAAAAAACAAACCAAGAAAACAAAAGGTAAGAAAAGAATCTCTTTCAGCAATTACAACAAAAGTATAAAAAATCTTCACTCTTTCTCCTCAGATCATGGGATGGGGCCCGCAGATGTTCAGTGCTGTGTGTTGAGAAGAGGGGGGTGAGTTTCTGGGTTTTACGTTCTTGAGAGGCCACGGTTGTCAAGATCTTTGACCTGTGGAGGTAAAGCAGGAGATCATCAGTGGAAGTTCAGATGGTTTAGAAGGACAGTAACGGTTAAAGATGCACAGGTGAGTTAAGATGTACCTTGTATATCCTGACGAGCCAGTGCTCTGTAGTATACGCTTCCTCCAGCACATCCAGCTCGAAGTCCTTGTTGCCAATCTCAGCATTACGAACTCTGTCGTAACCAGGAGGACGGGCGCCCTGGAAAAATAAAAAAAAAAAAAAAAAAAAAAGTAAATGCAGAGTTTAATTCTAGTCATCACTAATTTCTTAAAGGGTTATTCACCCAAAAATGAAAATTAGCTTGTGTTTTACTCACCCTCGAAGCATCCTATGTGTATATGACTTTCTTCTTTCAAACGAATCATATCGGAGTTATATTAAAAATTTTCCTGGCTATTCCAAGCTCCATCATTGCAGTCAGCGGGTGTTGCAGTTGAACAGTCCACAAGTCGTCAAATAAAGCGCGCGCATCCATAAAAAATCGTGCCTTACACGGCTCCTGGGGGGTGAATAAAGGCCTCCTGTAGCAGAACCATGTGTTTTCATAAGGAAAAAATATCCATATTTCAAACGTAATAAACACTTTTCTCTCACTTTCATTATCTGTCATACGTGGAAGCCGTTCCGGCGGACGATGCAGCACGTATGCGCAGCGCGCGCGCCTCTGAGATATGCTAGTCTTGCGAGTTTGTTTATAGGAGCACAGGAAGCAAAGTTGACTTACTTTAGCAAAGGAAAACCAGTCTCCTCTTGGTTTATATCGAAATCCTCCGACATTTTCCTTTATAAATCCTCGGTTTGTACTTTTAATTCATGACCGGCGTTTTGTTTTGTTCTCTCTCCGCGTTCGTCACTTATCACGCAACGCCAATGTACTACGTCATCCGCGTATGACAAAAAGCAGAAGTGAGGGAAAAGTGTTTATTACGTTTGAAATATGGATATTTTTCTTATGAAAACGCATGGATTCGCTACAGGAGGCCTTTATTCACCCCCCGGAGCCGTGTGAGGCACGTTTTATTATGGATGCGTGAGCTTTATTTGACATCTTGTGGACTGTTCAACAGAAACACCCACTGACTGCAATGATAGAGCTTAGAATAGCCAGGACAATTTTTAATATAACTCCAACTGGATTCGTCAGAAAGAAAAAAAGTCATATACACCTAAGATGCCTCGAGAGTGAGTAAAACACAGGCTAATTTTCATTTTTGGGTAAACTAACCCTTTAAGATTTTTTTGTCAACTTTTGTCAAAGTCAACATGAAACAGCATTTGCAACTCATTTTACTTCCATAATGTCAGTTATTTATGAAAATAATAATTAAAAAAATTTCACTAAAAATATTAAATAATATTCAATAAAATAATACTAATTAATTGTGTTGTTATTGTTAACTAAAACTAAATAGAAATAAAATAATAAAAGCACATAACAAAATTACAAAAAATATTATAATCAAAACAAAAAAAATATCAAAAGCTTATCGAAAACAATAATACTACAATGTATGGAGATATATATATATATATAAAACACACACACTTACTGGCTTCAGTGTAAACCTGGCCGAAGCGATAATAGCACATCTTGTACATGAGGCAATTGAGCAGGACGGGGGACCCCTCGCGGTCCACGCGGAACTCTCCGGTGGGCGTGTAGTAGTCATGTTCCTTTATGTGCCTCCCTGTGTCCGTGCTGCCCCCGATACGGACCATCCACAGGAACTTATTAATGTCTACACAAACAAAAACATACTCATTTTTACATGTTATTTAGGTTTCATCCAATCCAGATTCTACAATTCACACATTAAGAACCACAAAGCCATTTCCGCGGGTCAAAATTAATCAGAGTCCGTACCATCAGATGAATATCCTGTCAGTCCACCAAAGATCACCAGGACGTAACTAACATCCAGTTCTCGCATAATCTCATAGGCTTTCTCCTCAGTGGAGGCCATAGCCTGAAAAGAAGAATTTTTTTTTTAATAAATGTCCAAAGTATAAAAACTGTAAACGGTAAAACTATATTTTTGTAGTTTAAACTATATAAAACAACATCCTCACCTGACCCACTCTGGAGATGTGAGTGTTATTCCAAGTGTTGTTGTCAACCAAAATCGTTCGATTGGCCATCGCTGTTATTTGATACCCATAATCCCACCACGACATGACTTTAGCATCCTGTGCACACACAAAAGCAATACGAGATGAGCAAAAATGTTTGGAATCAAAAGAAGCAGGGGTCAACAGCATGACGGATCTCACTGACCTCTGGTGTGTTGTGTCTGAGCCAGTAATATGCCTCTCTGAAGTCATCGAAGATTATGCGGCTGCCATCACCACCACGGGCAGAGAGCACAATAGATGGGGAGGAGTACGCCTCGCTGGTCACCCAGGTGGAGTGGAAGGTGTATGTGATGAGGAAAAACGCCATGACCAGAATCATCCCACTTGCCACCTATGGACCAATTAGAGCAGAGCATCACTGAGTGAACCAATCACGTAAGGAAAGCTAAGAAAGATCAAGAGCATTGATCGTACCTCATTTTTGATTGGGTAAGTGGAGTCCTGCTGCTTTTTGGACTTCTTGTCCGGTCGGCTGACATCCAGGTTCTTCATGTAGGTGGTGAGGACCTGAGAAACGCCGATGCCTGACAGGATGCACATGACGGGAGCCAAGACTAACATGAGACGCACCTGAGCAGAACAGATAAAACTAGGGTCAGAGCTTCCTTTGTTAAAAGAAATGCTAATATACTGACAATTCAAATCTTGGCTAATATAAAGTAAAAGTGTTTTACCATCACAGCTGAGAAGTACATGCTGGTGACGCCATACATGATGATGAAAATCGTGGCATCGGAGAGGTTGTTAAAGCAGTAATAAAGGCCAACTGGAGAAACAAGATATTACAGATTTAACACATCAGATGCAGATTATTTTAGCATTATTTATATACTATTATAGTATTTATTAATATTTTGAATTTGCTTTATTTTTATATTTTCAGTTTTCAATTTTATTTTAGTTACAATTTTAGCGATTTTGTTATATGTTTGTCATTTTAATTAGTTTTTAGCTTTACATTTTTTTTTTTCAGTTTTAGTAATTTTAGTACTTCAACGTAAACTTATTGTATTTCAGTTAGTTTCCAAGTTGATATTTCTAATTTTAATTTATCTAATATTATAATTTTATATTTGCTTCATTTCAATTAACAAAAACTATTTTTAATGCAGATTTTTCCACAGACTGTGATGATGCTTTTCCACAAGTTATCAACGTTGTAAATCTAGCAATGTTTTTTATATTTTAACGTTTTTACATTTTATAACACTATACTTTGTGCTTTCTTACCTTAGCATTAAATATCTGTCTGAGAGACATTTCTGGCTGGATGAAGGACCATCACCTTCAACTCAGCCTTGATAAGACAAAACTGCTCGTTGTCTCAGTCAACCCAGCACTTCATCACATATGATGTGATATTGGTGGGCCTTCCGGCATTTATCAAGCCTCTGCAACTGATCCAGAATGCAGCAGCGAGAGTGATAGCTGCCAATCAAATTCAAGGTACTGATGTTTGCCTACAAGACAACCTCTGGTTCTTCACCAATATACCTAGACTCACTAGCTCAGACTTATGCGCCCTCCAGAAGCTTGTGTTCTGCAAGTGAATGACGCCTCATGGTGCCATCCCAAAGAGGCACAAAATCACTCTCATAGACCTTTTCCTGCACTATTCCCAGCTAGTGGAATGATCTGCCTATCCCAATTTGAGCAGCTGAGACTTTAGCCATTTTCAAAAAACTTCTAAAGACACATCTTTTTTGTCAGCACCTGACCAATTAATACTAGCCCATACATATTCTATTCTATTAATTATTTTCTAATTTAATAAAAAAAAAATGCATGAAGGGTGAATAAACCTTGCTATGTGTACTGAGTACGGAGACTTGCTACAGTACTTGTATACTGTTGCCCTCTTGTTTGGTCTGATTGCTTCTATTGTAAGTCATAATTTGTAAGTCGCTTTGGATAAGCGTCTGCTAAATGGATTAAATGTAAATATAAATTATCTAAAACTAGTTCATGCTGCTGCATGAGTGTTTCTAATACAAAGGTTGAGGAACTGAAAGCAAATTTGACATCTTTCACTCTTTTGAACAATGCAATCAATCTCTTGATATTTTTTCCTCTTTTAGAAAGTCACAGAAACGTTATTGTAATTTTTTTTCTTTTGCTATTAGGGCAAAAGGGAACAAAAAATCTATATGTAGTTTCCTTTCACCACTATAGAAATGTATCCTAGTATGATGACTTTCGCTTTGGAGAGCCTCAGAAATGTGAAAAGACGCCACAGTTTTAGATTTAGTTAACAATAACAATATCGATCTGATGGTTTAAAGAAAAAAACGAGCACAGGAAGGTGCTGTACCTGGAAACATGAAGACCAGAAGCTGCAGGTCAAAGTAGTAGGAGGACCAGGTGGTGGGCTGGTGCTCAGACACAGAGGCGATGATGGGGATGTTGTTCTTGGCATACGATGGATCCAGCAGAGAGTAAAAACGGCCAGTCCAAGGTGAGATTTTCCCTAGCATAAGCCAATACAAAAACAAACTATTTAGAAATAATAAAAAAAAAATATTCAAATTAGTGCTGGGCGGTATGATCAAAAATTTATATCACGGTATTTTTCAAAATTATACCGGTTTCACGGTACATGACGGTATTTTTTTTTTCATGCATGACCGGGTGTTAACCATATTTTCTACTGATTGAGAGAGGAAATACTGCAGTATATTGACTTAGAATGCCCTATTTTACTGTCATGACGAGTGAATATTGTCAAAAAATACCACACTAAATAGTGAATAAACACGACCCCTTTTAATACATGTTAACCAGGAGTCACTCATTTATAATCGCGGCATCGTCTGATAAAATCATCATGCATCTACACTAAAGAGCGGCAATGCGGTTGTTTTGGCTATATTACTTTTTTGTCTCATGCAGTACACTGCCTGCGTCTGAGTAACAAACTAAAAAAAAATCAACAAACAAAAAAGTGCGAAGCCGCTAAAAGGGTCTGAAAGTTGCTAAATTTAGTGCTAAAGTCACACTTGTGTGTGTGAGACACAGGAGCTGATGGCAGGGGGTGGTGGATATTTGTGGCGGTCAGTGTGGATATTGTGGATGAGTTCTTCTGTGTCATCACGTTCTATTAGCTCTACAGCTTCAGTTTCGGAACTTTCATGCTTAGTAACACATACAGCTGTTCCCTCACCACAGTGCAACAGTGAAAAGGGACCCCTTTCAAACAGTGTCGCGTTCCGAACGTTGTTTAAGCGACATACACCGGTATTGCGGTATTTAAAAAATTCATATCATAACAAAAATAAACACCGGTATTCGGTATGAACCGGTATACCGCCCAGCACTAATTTAAATGACCAGAAATAAATACTTACAAATATATTTATAATAAAAATAAATAAATAAATATTTGAATGGGAGCGTCTCTTCTAACCTGTTAGCATGAGCACTGCACCTGCAGAGAGCAGGATGATACCAACCAGCGAAATGACACTCTTGAACAACACTTCAAACTGCTGCGTGTTCAGTTTGCTCCGGAGGTAATCGACAAAGGCGTGAATCTGACACAGGCCAAACACCCCGAATGCAGCCATGTGTTCAGAGGACTGGACAGGCTAGAGGAAAAGGGAGAAAGAGAGAGATTATTGATCTAGTTTTAAGATTATATTATAGTAATTTCTCATATTTGATAGGTGATGTTCAGCTCCTCACCTGGAATCCAACAAAAGAGATCTGCATGGAGAGGATGGTGCCCAGGCAGTAGACTGTGCAGTACGCCACATAGATGCGATGAGAGAAACGGCCGGTAAGCATCAACACCAGCACGTGCAGGGGAATGAGGTTAATCAGAAACACGTAACCACCCCAGGAGGACACCTGACGCCAACACACAAAGTTATTGTGTTATTGAAATAATGTATTTTGTGTATTTAAGTAACAATGTATTGATTTGCTCTGAAACAATCCCAATTCAAATATTAATTTCTTGCCAAAAGGAAAAAAAAAAAATCTTACTGACACCAAACTTTTAAACAGTAGTGTATATGTTTCAATTTGATATTTGACAAATTCTAAAACCTTTCCTATTGAGGCCTTTTTGAAAGCATTTGAATAAACCTTTACCATATCGATCAATTAGAGAAACCGAACACATATCTCTGAGACAAGATAGTACCTTCATTGTCATAAGAGCCTGCCACAGAACGGGAGATGTATCCAGGGACGACAGCGATCATGGCGGCAGCCAGAAGCCCTGCACCTGCATCCTGCAACATAAAGTGTTACTTCAGTTAGGAAAATTAGCTAGACAAACAATGAGCAGGTGGGTGTGATGGACGTGTGCTGAAGTTCATCTCACCTTGAGCTCTTTTGTGAAGTGGTAGGTGACGATAGCGGTGAAGGAGGAGAAGAGAGGGGCGAGGAACACACACACATTGCGGATGTCGATGGTGATGTGGAAGAAGTGTAGAACGTGATACAAAGCCGCAGACGTGATCATCAACCCTGTAGGAAAAAACGAAACAACACACCGTTGCTATGCAGATGTAGCACTGTTTAAAGTGGTTTTAGCCTGTTGTTATAAGGTTGCTAGTCAAAACAGTCCCTAAATATGGTTTATATATAGATCACCGCCAGTTTTATCGTCCATCAGATGAAAAAGTCCAATCACTTAGAAAACTAATGATACAACACAATTTGCGGTGTCTGTGCAGGTCAAAGTTTAATACTAATGGTTAAGGGTTTGTTTAACATAAAAAAAAAATAAGGAAGTGACATCACCAATGCCATCAAGATTAGTAATGTAGCTTCATCAAAGAAACAGTTGACCCAAAACAAAAATGTACAGGTCATTCAAGATGTAAATGAGTTTGTTTCTTAATCGGAACAGATTTGGAGAAATTTTGCATTACGTCAATTGCTTGCCAATGGATCCTCTGCAGTGAATGGGTGCCGTCAGAATGAGAGTCCAAAATGGTTCTAAACAAATGTGCTGCTGGATTTTGATGTGAGAGTACAACACAGGGGATAAACTTTTTCACAGGAGGCGGCATGTTATGGCCAGAACCAACAGTTTAAAGTTAAAATGTCTTATTGAAGAATGTGTTTCCTACAAACAGGCTGCTTTTCACTTCTCAATATGTTAATTGATGGACTGGAGTCGTGTGGATTACTTGTGGATTATTGTGATGATTTTATCAGCCGTTTGGACGGCACCCATTCACTGCAGAAGATCCACTGGTGAGCAAGTGATGCAATGCTAAACTTCTCCAAATCTGTTCCGATTAAGAGACAAACTCTTAATATATTCAGTATATTGGATGCATATTTTTATTTTTGGGTGAACTATTCCTTTAACAATCTTTTCCAAGACAACATTCCATTAAATGCAATGACCTTGTTGCAGCACAAGTAAAGCATTCTGGGGTTTTGTACTTGGTGTCAGGCCACAAGTGGCTGGAAAACACATTCTTATATTGCTATACATTTTTTAATTAGTGTCATTAAGCTGTACCGGGATAGATGGTGCCTCCTATAATCCTCCCAAGTGGATACCAAGCCCGATCGTCAAACCAGTTATGGAATTTGTAAAAACCCTCTTCTGTCAAGAACCGAGTGGTCCGGTAATTGAAATAACTGCCAACAAGAAACAGCTCATTTAAACAGGTGTTCTGATGCTGGTGCACTACAATAATGACCCAAAATCTGCACTTACGGATCGAACTCATGGATGACACTCTCGAACCGAAGCACAGAGAACAGTCTGGTGGAGAACGCTGGAGGAAAATGACAAGACAGACCGCTTTAGAGGACAGCTGACATACAGGAGTCCGATACAAAGGGACGTGTATCCACTCACACAGGACGGCTGCCATAGACAGGATGAGCAGTTTCAGCAGGGTGTCCTGTTTCTCATAGGACAGACGCAGGAAGCCCAGCTTGGTCATCTTAACACACAGGAGGCAGGACTAACTCTTGATACCTGACAAAACAGGTTAACAGTGTTAACATAAGCAATGCAACTGTTAATAATAATAGTAATACAACTTAAACTATACATACATTTTAGGGGGGGGAAATGAAATGTTAGAGCAGCATAGAATAGGGCTCCTTTAATAACAAACTATGTACAAGCAGTAAGCAAATTTTGGCTAATTTAAACTTCTAAATACGATTATGCAATTCTACAATTTATTTTTGCCCTGATTAAAGAGGTTTTTCAAATTGATTAAGCGTCAAATATGAATTGTAGAGGGTAAAGCAGTTGAAGAAATGCATAAATCTGCATATTGTGTGATCTGTTAAAGTGTCAAATCTTTATAAAATCAGGAAGAGCCAGTTTGTGCACAATTCCTATACAAAACCCTACTCATTAACACTTCACCACACATGCACAAGAAGACAAATCAATTCAAAGAGTATAAAAGATGCACATAAATAGTGTTTTTCTGATGAGCTATTCGTGATAAACTAATAAAGTCTTGATTAGCTCCTTAGCTGCTAGCTAACATTACACCTATCTCACACCTTACCAAGCTTTTTTTATTATACGTAAATGTGTTATTTAATGCAAGGGAGTAACTGTAATGACAGCGAACCTGTATAGTTGCAATAAATGAGATTAGAAATTATAAATGTGCAAAATTACCAGTTTTATTCATCGGCGGTTCACTCACTCCAGCACTACCACACTCTCACATACAACCCTCTCTGCGATCAAGCCCCGCCTATCCACGTAGAGAGGGCGCTAATTGGCTTAGCGTCACGATTCCGAGAGAACGGCTTTCGCTGATTGGTCTTCGAGATGTCATTCAAGCGTGTCAAGACTAGTTCCGCATGGCGCTCCAGATATGACGTGTCCTAAAGGGAGAAAGAGTCAGCACTGTGGAATCCATGCAGCACTCAACTTTAAAACTTGAACTATCAAATATCATAACATTTATATGTTATTTTAATTGTTAAATAAAATTTCCCTTACAAGTTCATAATAATTTATATCAAGTAGTAGTAGTATAATTTTATTTAGGCAATTTTCATGGCAAAAACTCTAATTACAAAAATGCAAATATCACATAAATACAATAAAAACCAAGCAAACAAACAAACACAGCGAGTAATATACAATCATTTTTAAATTAACATATAATAGCTTTCGACTTGCATTAAAATCGGGACAGTCCAAAAGAATGTTTAATAAAAAGGGGGTCTTGCAGAACATGCATAGATGTTGGAAACCATCCCCGGACCATTACAGATGACACCGGATCATGTTCAACCGGATCAAAACGCATTATAAAAGAAACCAAATAAAAGCAGCTCCCTTTTAAGTTTTTTTTGTTGGGGGTGGGGGGGGGGGGGGGGGGGGGGGGGGGGGGGGAATCCATAATTTACTCACTCTCATGTCGTTCCTAACATGACTGACTTTCTTCTGTAAAACACAAAAGGAGAAATTTCAAAGATTGTTCACACTGCCGTTTTTCATAAAATATAAGGATATAGGAACTTGAGCAGCATGAACATTTTGCAAAATCTCTTCTTTTGTGTTCCACAAATTAAAGAAACATAAGGGTGAATAAATCATTTTCGGACAAACTATTCCATTACGAAGATGTGCAGTCAAAGTAATGAGCTTTAAAACATCTAGCAAACTCACAACATTTTAGGTCAAGAAACATCCCTTGCATAAAGAGGCCTTTCAATTTGATCGTTTTTCAGTCTAGTCCACATTTCAGTGCAGAAAAACAAACCATTGGGGGACATTTTTCTACTGATCCATACCGTAAGTTATTAGCTAAAGCATGTCATAGAGCTTAGTGTTAACTGAGAAACAAACTGTCATGTGTCTGGACCTCACAAGGCAGAAGAAGTCATTACATAAAATTAAAAAGAAGGCCATAAATAGATAAAACGAGTTGAGATAGAAACTACAGGGCCTAAAAGAGGAGGGAAGTCAGTTCACAGAATATGTGCACGCTGAGGTCTTTGTGCTGTCTCTACAAATCACCCAAATGGCACATAATGGGTACAAAAATAGTCCAACAAAAATCACACAGAGAATCATGACCTTGTGTATCAGCACAGGCAGATCACATTACTAACCCATCCGATTCATCCCTCAGAAGAACATCGACAGACACTTTCAAACACAGACAACGCAAATCTTTTTCCATCCACTCTTTCAAACCAAACTGAGTTGGGAATCTTGAAAGAGGTCACTGGGGGGGCATAGGTCTCTGGCGCGTCGGGGACACGTGAGGCGAGGGCAGCTTCTCTGTGGATGTGGAGGTCGGGATGGAGCTCTGCAGGTGCACCGTCTTGTGGAACAGTTTGTTACTGATGAGAACGACCAGGGAAAAAAGGCGGAGCTGGAAGTGGCTGCAATGTTGGAAAAAAACAAACCATTGGGGGACATTTTTCTACTGATCCATACCGTAAGTTATTAGCTAAAGCATGTCATAGAGCTTAGTGTTAACTGAGAAACAAACTGTCATGTGTCTGGACCTCACAAGGCAGAAGAAGTCATTACATAAAATTAAAAAGAAGGCCATAAATAGATAAAACGAGTTGAGATAGAAACTACAGGGCCTAAAAGAGGAGGGAAGTCAGTTCACAGAATATGAAGGTGCTGAGGTCTTTGTGCTGTCTCTACAAATCACCCAAATGGCACATAATGGGTACAAAAATAGTCCAACAAAAATCACACAGAGAATCATGACCTTGTGTATCAGCACAGGGCGATCACATTACTAACCCGTCCGATTCATCCCTCAGAAGAACATCGACAGACACTTTCAAACACAGACAACGCAAATCTTTTTCCATCCACTCTTTCAAACCAAACTGAGTTGGGAATCTTGAAAGAGGTCACTGGGGGGGCATAGGTCTCTGGCGCGTCGGGGACACGTGAGGCGAGGGCAGCTTCTCTGTGGATGTGGAGTCACAGATGTAAAGATTTCAGCGATCTTCTACCTGGATGAGGAAGAGGGCCTGGAGCAAAAGATTGAACAGCATGTCTGCAATGATCTTGCTGACACTGGGAAAAGGCTGAGCTTTACGTCCGGACACTTCAAATGCCAGATCAGCAATGTCCTGCTCGACAATACGGAATAAAATCACAACTCTACATTTAAAATATTACAAAACAGACATATATGCATGTATGTGGAGATGTATGCTTCTTGAGCAGCAAATCAGCATATTAGAATGATTTCTGAAAGATCATGTGACACTGAAGACTGGAGTAATGACTGCTGAAAATTCAGCTTTAACATCACAGGAATAAATTACATTTTAAAATATATTAAAAATAGAAAACAGTTATTTTACAACTATAAAGTCCTGCCTAACCCAGTAAGCATGGTAAAATCACTGTAAAGAAGGGTTTTGCATTTATTGCTCTGATAAACTGCTTAATTACAAGAATGCTGATTTCACGATCAAACCAGTATGCCACCCATAAAGTATGTTCAAAATAGTCTCACCTGGAACCAAATGGCATTGACTATCTTGCTAAGCACAAAGAGAGGCAGAACCCAGAGAGCACTGAACACAGATGTCAGAATGAACTCCAGCCAGGACCACAGATTACCATGTAGCGAAGGGTCACCTGAAACCAGATCAGCAGAAGAAGCATAAATACAAAGACAAATCTGGAATATATGACATGGATGTTTTTTAAAAGCGACACATACCTATGATTCTAGCAGTGAGGGACTGCAGCAGTGGAATAAACACCCGATAAAACAGGAACAGACTTAGCTGTGAGATAAAAGAAATGGGATTATTTCATATAATAGTTTAGCATACACATACCAAAGCATAGTTGACCAATAAGAGACAGAGAAATGTACCCAAAATACGCCTCCATTCCAGGCACAGCACTGAAAAATTCGACTTGCTAGTTTTGGTTCACTGTTAAAGAAAAAAAAGCAAAGAAACCTATTTCATCAGGACCGGTATTATTAGAATAGACTGAATAAATGAATTCAAATGGCACATCTACCAGTCCTGTTTCCGTTCCTCGCTCTGAGCCCGTCTCATCGCCAGGGCCCCACTCGTTCTGCGCCTCCTCTGCTCCTCCCTCTTCTGCTGAATTCGAGCATCGAGCTTGGAGATGGTTCCAATGCCCAGGATGGAGTCCTTGATTCCCTAAAATGAAACGGGAAGCCACTTTTTCAATAAGAATGAAATAAAATATTATTACAATTCAACATAACTGATTTTAATACATTTTAAAATAAAATGTATTCCTGTGATGCAAAGCTGAATTTTCAGCAGCCATTACTCCAGTCTTCAGTGTCACATGACCCTTCAGAAATCATTCTATTAAAAAAATTAAAAGGCAAGCTTGTGTTTCTAACTAGGAACCAACACCAAGAGCTTAAGGTGATGATAAACAGGGTAACTTTTTAAAGAAATGTCCCATTGAGAATGGGCAACAAATTTCTATCTGGATACTTTAGATCGGCTGTGGGCCCTGTGTCTCACCTGGTTGCCCACTGACAGCAACACTGCCCAGCAACACTGGTCAAAAAGTTGCCACGTGTATCAATACCTTTACAGATGTTAATGTGATTTCAAGTCATAAGACATTAAATCATAAAGTTTATTAGATGTCAAATTAGGTTCTGACCGTCGCAACATTGCGGACAAACGCTCTGACACTGTCCGTCATCTCCACACCGGCTGCAGAGTCATCAACTGCAGGAGGGGCAACCAGGGGCCAGGCAAGATCTCATGTCAGGAGGAGGACACGCCTGCAAACTGTCCAGAGAAAGAGAACTCTTTATATCTGTGGCTTCATAACATTTTCATGCTTTGATCTCATTGTTAAGCCATTTGATCTGACAATTTGATCCAGCAGCTTTGAAAAAACACCCTGAAATTAGTCATGAACTAAAAAAGCAATAAGTTAAATAATGAAAAGAAATGTATTAAATAATGTGTCTTCAATTTTAATAGAGAGAACTTAAGAGGCTCACAACTGAAATGACATGTATGTTGAAAACATGAACTCCATGTGACCATAATCAATGGTCACTCTCTCTCACTCACACTCACACTCTCTCTCACACACACACACACACACACACAC